TATATTCGGCCCAAGGCCCAAGCCCAATCCAAATTGTCCAAATGCCCAATATTCTAAAATAATCACCCAAGGCCCACTATGGCCCAATTTTCCAAATTAGGCCTAAACCCCTTCATGGGCCTTAAATCAAGGTCCAAAAAATACTTAGCCCCAAAACAATATTTTGATGGCCCAAAATAAAGCCTTAGACCCCTAAAGCCCAAAATGGAGCCCAACATCGAAAAGCCCGATCTGCAACCCACTGCTGAGTACGTAGGGCGTACACGCTTTAGGGCTTGTACGCGACACGTACGAGCTTGTACGCCCAACGTACTCCCCTATTTGGCCAACTTTCCATTTCCAGCTCTTAACCGAATAAGACCTCAACCCACACTCAAATCTAACTTCCTTAAGATGGTTTATCACGTAAAGTTGCCAACTTTACATGCATGTATGGCTTAATGAGACCCTAGCGATCAAAAGAGCTTAATAAATGACTTAATGCATGCATGAGACAATAACCCCCATAAAGTTTGCACCTTTAAGCTTGAGGAACTCTCCGAACACCCAGATCTACAAGATTTATCTACTAAAGCGGTCTTAACCCATTAAGACCAACCAAAAAGGGACAAAGAAGCATAAAACCATAACATGAAGAGATATAAGCAAGGAGTAGACAAGGTATGAACTTTATGAAGGGTTTTGAGCATTCTAACACTCCTAAGGTGTACATGCAACCCTAAATACCTTGGATCTATGTTTTCTCTATTATACATGCAAATATCAATTTTCCAAGGTATTGTTCTAACTAGCATAATATGAAGTACATATAATATAAATTCTAGTAGAATTACATACCTCTTTGTTGTAGCTTGATTCCATGGAGCTTAAGAGCCTAGTGCCTCAAGTGTGACACCTCAAATGGTTCACACAACATCACCAACATCTTGTAATAACTTGAGAGAAAAGGTTCCTATGCTCAAATCGGCTAGCCCTCGTGTGTACACACACTAGTGCCAGTTTCTTGAGCCATGGGGTCCTTATATATGATGGCTATTAGGGTTATACCATATAACTCATGTCTTTCCATATTCTTCATGCTCCATGGGTTAAAACCTCCATGGAGTATCCATGGGTTACTTAATGGGTTTGGCCCAACATGAAGAACTATAGATCATAAGCCCACATATATAAGACTGAATGATTTACACAATTAATCCCCATATATTTAATTAGTCTCCTTTTGATCACAAAATTAATTCCAAATTAATTCTTGATCAATACTAATTAAATAATATGATTTCATATTAACATATTAGAACTTATAATATATTAACAAATCATAAATATCCTTTTCTCACAAAAGTCTATCCAAATTGTTCCGATGTCATGCAACCCAAATGGACCATGCCAAATCGGGTCAAGTACATACCAATTAAGTTATGGGCTTAGACACTAATCCAACACTTTATAGCTCAAAAGTCACCAAAATATGGATGTCTAGGCTTCCCTCCAGTGAAAGAGTCTTCCAACTTCTTCTTCTAACACTTCAAGGAGCACAAACCACCAAAAATCAAGACCAAGGCTCAAGAACACTCAAAGAGGCTATTAGGATTCGAGATTAGGGTGTTAGGACAATGGAGGCTGATAAAGAGGCCAACCCTAGGGATATAAGGAGCTTATATAGAGTGCAAAACCCTAAAATTAGGGTTTCATTAAACCCCCCGTACGCCCAGCGTAACCTTCGTACACCCAGCGTACGAGGCTTTGATCTCGCGATCAACTTCCTCCTTAGTACGCTAAGCGTACCATGTGGTACGCCCCCGCGTACTAGCTTCTTAGCTAGTACGCTAAGTTTACCCAATGGTATGCCTCACGTACTAACTCCAAGGACCAAAATGCAATATCTTAAATAAAAAAGAGCTAAAGGAAACATACCAAAATCAAGCGTTACAATTCTCTCCCACTTGAATCAGACTTCGTCCTCAAAGTCCGCTGCTCCAAATAATTTCGGGTAGCGCTCCCTCATCTCATCTTCCGGCTCCCAAGTCCACTCTGAACCCTTTCGGTGCTGCCATTGTGTAACATCCATAAAATTCAAGCCAACTTAAAACTTTTCAACAATTCAAAAATCTTTAATTATTACAAACTGTTTTTAAAATAGTTTAATGTCAAAGTATCCCAAAAATCAAAATCATAAAATATGAGGAGGTGCACGATCATGCCTTCGCCTTCCCGCGATCACCTGAAGTTCCTGAAACAAAATCCAAAATTATAAGCCTAGCTTAGTGAGTTCCCTTAAAATACAAACGCCATATAACATAACCATATAATAGCAAATAAACAGCATGCATATAGAGTCTACAGAATGACTGGGTTTCCCTCACCGGGCCTGCAGTCTATCTGGCCCACTCTCAGAACCTTCAGCATGTCTGGTCCGCCCACTCGGGCCTTCAGTCTGTCTGGACCGTTCTCCGGGCCTTCAGCCTAACTGATATGCCCTAATGGGTCTGCAGTCTATCCGGTCTGCCCTGGGTTTGTTGGCCTTCAGCACAAAGCAAGTCCGCCTCAACCCAACCCCACATACACTATCAACATACAAATATCATAAGCTAGCTAGCATGCACAAACAATCAAGCCGATCTAACAGATCACTAATGATGGCATCATCCTATATACCAGGATACTAACCTAACCGATCACTGACATATCATCATCCTATATACTAGGATACCGACCTAACAGGTCACTAAGCATATCATCATGCAATAACCAGGATAACAATCCAAAAGAAGGGCCGACATTGGTGCCTTCGACCCTGTTGGTATAGCGAGGACAACTCACCTTGCAAGTAGTGTTGAACTGGACTGAAAGTCTCCGACCGCCGTCTCACCGAAAATCCCGAACTATCCAAAATAACGAATATTAAGTCAATACTTGGGATATCAATCTTGACTAAGGGTCTACTGAGTCCATTTTGCCTTTTTCTCTAATTTGGGCCAAGGCCCAATACCAAATTTATTATCCAAAAGTCCATATACATAAGGCCCATCATTGGCCCAATTTTCCCAATTGGGCCCCAACTCCCTAATCGGGCCTCATTTTAAGATCCATTACCACTATTGGCCCAAAGAACATCTATAAGAACATCTATTCAGAAATCCCAGTAAGGCCCATGTCAAACTGACCCAAAAAAGGGCCTAATCCCGAAGCCCAAATCGTCAAAAGCCCAACAGAGGGCGTACATGGGGCGTACTCCTTTGGTACGCTGGGCGTACTCTGCTTTGCGTTGACCACCATCGGGGTGGTTGACTCAGTGCGCTCGGCATACAGAAATTACGCGGGGCATACGAAAGTTTTACCAAAACTCTAATAAGTGCTTAATGACTTAAGCACTTAAGCCCAAACTCTAGATCCATCGGCCAAATGTGCCTTAGAACCATAAAGTCTCGAACTTTAAGACTTTGGACATCCATAAAGTTCTTAATACATGGTATTAACCCATTAAGACCTTTCTACTACATGCATGGGATACTTTTAGCCATTGGGACATCATTTTTATCACTTAGGACCCTTTATAAGGTCTGAAAGGACAACTTGTTTCGTTCAAAACATAACATGCACCAACTTGGGACTTTTGGGACAAGAAATGGTTTCATAAAGCTAATATAGCAAGATCTACATCATACAAGCATAAAGGTTGGAGCTTTTTACCTCTTAGAGCTTCTAGAGCACAAAGAAACCTCAGATCTATAAGCTTGTCTTCCTTCTCCAACTTCTTGATGCAACACCTTTTTCTCCAACTACTCAAAACACACACTTTTAGCTCACACACTCAAGAAATGGGTTAGGGTTTGGGTAAAACGGCTCAAAACTATGGAGGCTGAGACGATGGAGGATTTTGAGCTCATAAGGACGTTTATATAGCACCCAAACCCTAAATATTAGGGTTTCCATCTGTCGTGAGTACGCCCAGCGTACCTTATGTACGCTTAGCATACTCGTCTTGTTCTCAAAGTTGCAACTTTAGCCCTTAGGCTTCTCATGGCTCGACTCTTCCAACCCAAGGGACTACAAATGACAAAATAATAATAAAAGAGAGGATTCGGAAATACCTGCAAATCTCGGGATGTTACACATTGCACCTTCACCAACTCTACAACCTTGTTCCTCAAGGTTTTTGTCTTCCAATCCAGAGTCACCACCGGTCTCTCAATATAATTCAGGCGGTCATCCACCTGAATATCCTCCAATGGTACCACTGCGGAATCATCCACTAAGCACTTCCGCAGCTGAGAGACATGGAACGTGTTGTGAATCTGACTGAGCTCATCTTGAAGATCCAAGCGGTAAGCAACCCAGCCCACCTGATCCAAAACCCTAAAAGGACCAATATACCTGGGGCCCAGCTTGCCCCGCTTCCTGAATCAGGTGACACCTTTAGGAGAACCATATCCCCCACCTGGAATTCTAAATCTGATCGACGCCTGTTGGCATAACTCTTATGTTGACCCTGAGCTGTATGGAGCCTGCTCCGAACCTGCTGAATCAGCTTAGTGGTATTGAGTACCACCTCGGTACTCCCCATAACCCGCTGACCGACCTCGCCCAAAAAATTGGGGTTCTGCATTTCATCCCGTAGAGCATCTCGAAAGGAGGTCGATCAATGCTGGTGTGATAACTGCTGTTATACGAAAATTACGCTAACGGAAGATACGTATCCAAACTCCCACCGAAGTCCAAAACACACGCCCGCAACATATCCTCAAGGGTCTGAGTAGTCCACTCGCTCTAACCATCGGTCTGCGGATGGAATGTTGTGCTGAAATGGAGACGAGTGCCCAACTCGTCATGAAACCTCTTCCAAAACCTAGAAGTAAGCCATACATCTCAGTCAAAACCATCGAACCGACACCCCATGCCATACCACAACCTCCCTGATATAGACCTCAGCTAGCTTCTCTGCAGAAATACTCTCCTAGATCGGGATGAAGTGCGCGCTCTTGGTCAATCGATCCACGATGACTCAAACCGAATCCACCCCCGTGCACAGTCTGAGGTAACTTTGTGATAAAATCCATGGTAATATCCTCCCATTTACATACGAGAATCTCTAATGGATGCATCTTGTCGTGAGGTCGCTGATGCTCGGCCTTGACTTTCATGCAAGTCAAGCACCACTCCACATACCAAGCCACATACCGCTTCATGCAGGGCCACCAATAATAAGGAAGAAGATCCCTATACATCATCGTCGCCCCGGGATGAATGGAGAACCTAGACTTGTGTGCCTCCTCTATCAAAACCTGACGCACACCACCCCAATAAGGAACGCAAACCCACTGATGCAAAGTCAACAACCCACGACTATCATAATCGAAGGAAGCCACCTGACCTACAATACGCTCACTCTTCCGGTGTTCTTCCTTCATAGCCTCGACCTGAGACTCATGAATCAGCTCCAACAACGGAGTAATCACAGTCATCCTCAAATATATGTCTCTGATCGGAGCCGCGACCGCCTTGCGGCTAAAAGCATCGGCCACCACATTGGCCTTCCCCATGTGATTAAGGATTTCATAATCATAACCATTCACCACATCCAACCATCGGCGGTGCCTCATATTCAGATTTGGCTGATCCATCAAATACCTCAGACTCTTGTGATCCGTGTAAATAGTACAACAGACCCCATAGAGGTAATGCCGCCAAATCTCGAGGGCAAAAACTACAGCCCCCAACTCCAAATCATGCGTCAGATAATTTGCCTCATGAGGCTTCAGCTGCCTCGAAGCATAAGCAATCACGTTACCCCTCTGTATCAACACTGCCCCTAATCCTATGATCGACGCATCACAATAAACCATAAAATACTCGACACCCTCTGGCAGGGTCAGAATCGGTGCCTCGCACCACCGTTGTCTCAAGGTCTCAAAAGTTGCCTGCTGCTCAGGCCCCCAACGAAATGTAACCATCTTCTTTGTCAACCGAGTCAAAGGAACAACTATCTTGGAGACGAATCTTCGATAATAACCCGCCAAACCAAGGAAACCCCGAATCTCAGATGGAGACCTCGGATCGACCAGAATACCCTTCTGGTTGATAAGGTGCCCCAGAAACTGCACCTCACGAAACCATAACTCACACTTGGAGTACTTTGCGAAAAGTCTCTCCCTCCTTAAAGTCTCTAACACTTCCCTTGAGTGCTCCTCGTGCTGCTCTTGAGTCTTGGAATAAACCAAGATATCATCAATAAATACAATCACAGACCGATCCAACATCGGCCTGCACACGCGGTTCATGAGATCCATGAACACGGCTAGAACATCGGTGAGCCCAAAAGGCATCACCACGAACTCGTAATGATCATAATGAGTCTGAAAAGTTGTCTTCTGCATATCCTCATCCCTAACCCTCATCTGATGATAACCCGATCGCAAATCAATCTTGGAAAACCAAGATGCATCCTGAAGCTGGTCGAAAAGATCATCAATTCTTGGACGTGGATAACGTTTCTTCACCGTTACCTTGTTCAGCTCTCGGTAGTCAATGCACATACAATGAGACCCATCGTTCTTCTTCACAAACAAGATCGGTGCTCCCCCAAGGCGAACTGCTCGGTCGAATGAATCCCTTGTCTAACAGCTCCTGCAGTTGTGTAGATAACTCATGCATCTCAGGAGGAGCCAACCGATACGGTGCTTTGGCTATCGGAGTCGCACCAGGAACCAAATCAATCCTGAACTCAACCTTCCTCTCTGGAGGCACCCCAGGAAAATCCTCTGGAAACACATCCGGGTAATCTTGCACAATCGACACATCATCCACGATCGCTTTACCCTTATCCCGGGTATCCATAACATAGGCGACAAATCCAGAACAACCCTACTGAAAATAGCCTCTGACTGACCCTCGCTGCTGAACACAAAATCGCCCCACGCTGAGATCTCTCCCCATGGACCACTAACTCTCCCCCACTTTGGGTCCGAACTCGAACTAACTGCTGCTCACAATCGATCACTGACCCATTGAGCTCAACCAATTCATACCCACAATAACCTTGTTCCCACGCAAAGGAATGAGAACCAAATCAACCAGATACTGCTCGCTGAATAACTGAAGAGTGAGACCTTGATGAACCCTCGCAACCCGAACAGACCTATTATCTGCAATCTCGACATCTAACGAACAATCCAGCTCCCCCGGAAAAAACCAATATCATAAAAAAATGTTTATAATTGATAAAAAAACATGCTTATACCGCAATCATACATGCATCAAACATTCTAGCAGAACAAAAACCATAACTAATTGATTCTATTAGATTATTAGCTTTCTTTGTAGATATCACATAAAAAAAATCGTTATAATCAAACCCATCATTTCGAAAGTTAATTTTCTTAAGGAATTAAACCAAATCATACCTTCTGGTTGCAAAACACAAATCATACATGCATAAATCAGTCTAACTATATTTATTCGAGTAGAATACATATTTAAAGTCAATACACATCCACTTCAATAAAAATTTCATACCTTCAGGTTGCGAACGAAAATCATCATCATCATCATCAAGATTCAACACCGTCTCTGCTGTGTTCTTGAACCCAAGTCGATCTTGTACTCTGCATTCTTTAAGAATACACTTCACAAAAAACCCCCAATGCCTCCTCCGTCTTCTAGGGTTTAATAGTCGATATTTATATGAAATATCTTCGTAGAATCTTCCGATTTTGGAGGTTTATTATAGAAAATCAGAATATGTTTTGATCTCCGATACAAATGGGTTTTGATTTGATTGTTTGCGAGATATTTGGGATGAGTGAATCAGTTCCAAAAAAACGAACGTTTCCTATTATAATGACGATGGTAATGTACAAAACTACCCTTCCATGCCCGGTCATTTAATGAAATCATATTAATTTGTTTTTTTTCTATCTAAGTTTAAAAGAAAACCATTTACTTAAATTAGCACAAAGATTGACCTAGAATCATTTACACACGCACACTATAGTTAGCAAAAAACACACTAACCTAATAATATATATATATATATATATATATATATATATATATATATATATATATATATATATATATATATATATTCCAGGGACAATTTGATCATTTTAATAACATGTTCTGCCATGTCCTTGTGCTACCAAACGCTTTACAGTTCAGTCTAATTCACTCTAATTCGTTCAATCCAATATTGTTCTATCTAGTCCCATCACCAACTAAACAAACTTAAAACACCTTAATTTTTCTTATTTGTTTTTGAATTGGCGCCCAAATCTCCCCCCACCGTCAAACGGGAAAAGAAAGCCCTAGCTCGATCGCAGGCCTTTTGCTCGAACGCCACGAAACCCACGCAATTCTTCACCAGTTCACCTTCACGACTGACGTACCCACACAATTCTTGCTGATCGCTACTTCACCTCGAACCGACGAAGGCACGACCCCAAATTAGAATGAGTGTTTATTGGCTTGAGTGCTTGACGAAGTTAGCTTGAAGAAGTCAGCAAGCCAGGTAACGATTCTATCAGTCTCTGTCCTCTGATTATATCAACTTCATATTGTTTTGAGTGATTTTAGCATCAAATAGTTGTAAGTTTGGTGAAGAGCTGTCGATTTAGGTTTATATCTGATCTATGCCTATTGCTTTCATTATTTTCGGCATCTGGTGCTTTCTAAACACAATGTTGTTTCTTGCAAAGGTGCAATTTGCACTTGTTCAAAAGATGGATCGATTCAAAACAGGTTTCCGTTAATTTTGGTTTAAAATAGCAAGAACAAAACTTCAAGACTATGGTTGTTTGATCTTTTATGATGATAAGCATTCCTGATCGATTTATCTTTTTGTAAGGTTATTGAATTAGTTAGTGCAGATGTTGCTCAAGCCAAGAGTAATTAAGTAATTATGTTCTTGATTCCATCATCAGTAATATGAATATTTTCTTGTTATAGCTCATAGATTTATTTTAATTCTAATGCTTGGTAGTGTTTCAGGTTGCGTTTTGAGTGTTATTGTTATAGTTCGTAGATTTGTTTTGTATCAAAACTTGATGCATTGATCTTTTAGTTATTGCTACTTAAACTTGTATGTATGTACCAAAACTTGTGCTATTTTTTGTTACTGATGCATCTTATATGATAAAAATGCAGGCTTTTATAATATATGATCAAATGGATTCTCAGAATGAATGGAACAATAAAAATAACCGAAAGCTAGAAGTATCCAATGTTGCAGAAAAACAGGAAATTAAAGACATGTGGACTGTTTTGCCCAAAGAGGAAATTGAAACATATGGGCAGACAAATGGACCAAGGACTAGAATTCAATGCTCAGACACTGAATTTGTAAACAGTTGGAAAGAATTAGGGGAAGAGAGGTGTACAATTTTGAGAACCAATTTGAAAGATAACCCATTTCAGAGTCTTTTGGAGCTGGATGGTGGGGTGAGAAACAATGATCTTATACTCGATCTAGTATCCATCTTCAACGTCTCTAATAAGAGTCTAAATATCAATGGTCATGACTATAGAGTCACACCTGAAGAATTTACTCACATCATGGGAATTAAAGATGGTGTGGAAGAGATTGATTTGAAAAAACATCCTTCAAAAGAGTTAAAGACATTGTTTGCAGATAGTAATCCCTGTCAATTTACAGTGTCCAATAAAAAAATTGCAGTACATCTTAAAAGCAATGACATGAACATTGCTACAAAAGCTTATGCTCTGTTATCCTTGCTTCGTATTGTTTGTGCACCAGGAAGGGGTAGCTTAAATGGGAAGTATTTAAATAACATTGATGATATGAATCACAAGAGGTGGGCAACACATGCCATTGAAACTATGGTGCAGAGCATTGCTTCTTTTCAGAATAGAAAAGGATTGAAACAAAAATATCTAGGTGGATGTGTTTGTTTTTACAGGTTACTTGAACACTTTTATAGTTTTATTTATGGTAAAATTTAAATAGAGGTAACAATATGTCAATATATAATATAGTTTTGTTTCTCTGTATGTAGTTATTTTATATGAACAAGGCAAGTATGAATCCAAAAAAAGATGTCCTGCTTCTTCACCATTTCAAAAAAAACGTTGTTGATACGTTTTTGAAGGAACATAAAAAGGTTAGTGAATTTTTAACTTTTGGTTTTAAGTTTTGAGTTTATTCATTGTGAATTTTTCTTGACATTGTTTTCCATTAAAAAAATTCTCGAAAGAGAACAGCAGGGTTGCTGTTCACTGTAGGCAAAAGAGTCGAAGTGTGTGTTAAGGTAGGGAATCTGAAGGTTTGGTTCCCTGCAACTGTTGTAGAAAACTTGGGCGACAATTCTTTTCTGGTTGAGCATCAGCAGCCAGGAATTGGTGATGAAGCAACTCTTCATAAAGTTGCTGTAGATTACCAACACATCCGACCCTCACCACCTCATCTCAGCCTCAGGGATAAGGATTTTGTTTTGCTGGAAAAGGTGGATGCTTACTATGATTTTGGTTGGTGGAGGGGAGTAGTTACCAAAAAACTTGCTGATAATAGGTACAACGTGTTCTTTAAACACACAAAAAAAGAGAGAGAATTTTGATTGGTCAAGTGTAAGGCCACGTATGAAGTGGAAACGCGGAAAATGGTTTATCACTTTCCAGGTATTCATATCATCATTTACATGGTTAACTGATCTGCTTTCTTTTCTATTATGGTTTGCCTCCATTGACTATTGTGTAATGTAGCATGTTAGTCTTTTTGTTCAATTTCTTCTATCAAAGACTTCATAGAAAAGATTTTTGTTTTGTTTACTTAAATTTAGAACCTAAAGCTTTAATCAAGATATAAATCTTGAGAGCAATTCCTTTGAGCCTGATAATACCATAATCAGGGGTAAAATAGGCAATAAAAGGAATGCTAGCTTCACCACATGCAACAATATTATGAATGAGAGAATGAGAGTGAGTCAATGGCGCCCGAAGCTACTTGCCTCTATTTTTTCTTGGGTTGTATATGGAAAGGGAATATGCATTTTCTAGTTGTTCGTTAGTTTTTCTAACTTGCATATTGCTCAAAGAACTTTTTTTTTTGCTCTTCCCCTACTGCATACTCATCTTTTGAGAAGTTCTCTCGATCTATTAGTTCTATTTAGACCTCCACTCCTCTTTAATAAACACCTATATCTTTTAACAGATTTAAGGTTTTCCTGTGTTTCTTATTAACTGAGAATAAATACACAAGGCAAAGCAAGAAAAGGAAACTCTTCTATGGAATCCCTTTATATTAGGGATTACCTACAATCACTATTATTATGGGATTATAATTAGTTACCATCTCTCCTACATTAAATACAAAATCATTTACATTTTCCTACACTCCCCTTCAAACCGGTGAGTGGGAGTTTCCCTTCCCAACATGGATAAATTTCTTTCAAACATTGGTCTACTTAGCCCTTTAGTGAAGACATCTGCTAGTTGTTCATGAATAGGCACAAATGGGGTACATATTAAGCTAGTGTCTAACTTCTCCTTGACAAAATGTCTGTCAACTTCAACATGCTTTGTCCGATCGTGCTGAACTGGATTGTGAGTTATGTTTATTGCAAACTTATTGTCACAATAAAGCTTCATTGGTCACTCCCAGTTAGACCTGGCAATTCGTGTATTCGTGTCATGAAAACGTGTCAGCCACGAATTTCACACGATACGATTACACGATAAGAAATAAGGTTTATCTCAATTTTTAAGATATATTCGTGTCGTGTATTCGTGTCGTGTCACAGATTTGTGTATTCGTGTCTCAAATTGCCAGGTCTACTCCCAGTTGATCTTTAGATCTTCAAGGATAATTTTTACCTATAATAGTTCACATATACCTTGTGCCATTGCACGAAATTCTGCTTTAGCACTAGATCATGCCACCACGCTTTGCTTCTTGCTTCTCCATGTCACAAGGTTTCCTCTTAGGAGAGTACAATACCATGTTATTAATCTACTGTAAATTGATGACGTAGCATAGCTTGAATCAGTGTATGCCTCAAGGCTTAGACAATTATTTCTTTCAAACATGATCCCCTTCCCTTGTGCTCCTTTGAGATACTGTAAAATTCGATGTGCAGCTTGCAAATGGGTATCCTTTAGATTATGCATAAACTGACTGACCATGCTTATAGCATAAGCTATGTCAGGTATGAGACAAATATATAAGTTTCCCCCTTGGTTTAAAATAGCATAAGCTATGTTAGGTATGAGACAAATATATAAGTTTCCCCCTTGGTTTAAAATAGCATAAGCTATGTTAGGTATGAGACAAATATATAAGTTTCCCCCTTGGTTTAAAAAAGCGCACATTAGGTGCGATGCACACCGAAGCGCAACAAAATACGCTTCAATATGATGTTGCGATGCGAATTCCGTGTTGCAAGGTGATGCGTGCACATAAGCGCATCCGAGAGCATCATGCTTCAGCGCATCCTGGACAGACCTATTTTATTTAAAAAAAAATATAAAATCCAACTAAAAAAGCCCATGCAATTGTTTAATTAAACTAAGCGGCCCTATTCCTATGTACCCTAGATTATGAGATAACGTGTAATCGTGTACAATACTTCTAACCCATACCCATGCGTACGTGATGTTATTGGGCAATTGAATCTTCTTCTTCTCTCTTTCTTTATCTTTCTTTATCACTGGTCTTACCTGTTTCATTTTGCACTACTATTAAACTATTAGTTATTTAGTTATTAATATTTGCTATTATGCACTACTATTAGGGTCTGTTAGTTTCATTTTGCACTACTATTAGACTATTAGTTATTTAGTTATTAATGTTTGCTATTATGCTATATATATCATACTTTCATATTATATATATATATATATATATATATATATATATATATATATGGTGTTTTAGTATACTGGTAATCATGCATAACACATTCTGCTTCACTAGTGACTACTTGTGCTCCTCGTCTACGTGATGCCCGTGCATTCACATCGCGCATCACACTTCGGGACCTTATCATATCGGAGCGCATCTCGGTTTTTAAAACCAAGGTTTCCCCACAAGCCGTTGATACATTTCTTTGTTTATAGTTGCATCTTTTTCTGCATATCCCAGTTTATGATTTGGGTCTATAGGAATACTAGCTGGTTTGCATGCACCTTGACCTAGAAATGTTTCCATGAGTAAGTCTATAGTATACTTCTGTTGGGATATACAAATTCTCTTTTGGGATATACAAATTCTCTTTCTTGAATGGGCGACTTCAATTCCAAGGAAGTACTTCAATCTTCCTAATGTCTTGATCACAAATTCTTTGACTAGACATTGGCTTAAGGCTTGCTGCTCTATTTCATCATCTTTTGTTACGATGATATCATTTACATATATCACAAGGGCTGTTATCTTTCCTGTTTATGAGTGCTTCATGAATAAAGTGTGATCCCCTTGACTTTGTTTATATCCCATAGCGAACATAGTTATGGAAAATCTCCCAAACCATGTTTGGGGAGATTGTTTCAAACCGTATAGTGCCTTTTTCAATTTACACACCGTATTGGAATTTGTTCATGTTCTATAACCAAGATTAGTAGCGAGGGATAGAATTACCCTAACTGTATTCATTTTTGCAACTGGTGCGAATGTCTCGAAATAATCAATGCCAAAAGTTTGCGTATATCCCTTAGCTACATGTCTTGCTTTATACTTTTCAATTGACCCACCCGCCTTGTATTTCACTGTATAGACCCATTTGCATCCTACTGTTATTTTTCCTTTGGACAATTTAACCAACTTCCAAGTTTTATTCTTTTCTAGTGCTTGCATTTCTACATTCATCGCTTGCTTCCATTTTTCATTAGATAATGCCTCATACAAATTGGTGGGAATGGTAATGGAGGTGAGATCGACAAGAAATGCTTTGAATGTAGGAGATAATTTTTGGAAAGAGGTGTAGTGTGATGAGGGATACAATGGTATTTTTGTGCATTCTCTCGTTCCTTTTCTAAAGGTATTGGAATGTAAATATTGTACATATTAGCATTGGCCTAGTTTCAGCCCATGGGTCCGTAGGGTTTTCTACGTCTATGGATCCTGCCTCTTTATATACTCCGACATCTTCTCTTTGTAATATGATCACAATCAATAAGGTTATTTTCACCCTTAATCTATTTTCTAGCTTACATGGTATTAGAGCGAGGTTTAGGGTTGGAGCGTTTTTGCGTTAAGAGAGATTATTGTTCACGGAGTATACTATCACAACATTGTTCATCGCACTGTTCATTCGGTACTGTTCACGGAGTACCCGACCACACCTAACAAAGTTGGATCCGAAGTCCTTGAAATGTGTCTTCCTTGGTTACTCTAGACTTCAGAAAGGCTACAAGTGCTTCTCTCCTACACTCAATCGGTACATTGTGTCTTGAGATGTTACATTTCATGAAAATATACACTTTCCTATGACCAATCATTTGAACCCAAGAGTGTCTAATGATCTGTTGGTATACACCATACCTTCTCCTGAGTCTCATAGCCGCCAACGTGAAGAGCATATTAAGCCGCCAATTATTCACGTATATAGACAACGACCTACATCAAATTTTGATCCCATACCATCTTCATCTGCAGATCTAAGTATTGATGAGACCTATGCAGTTATCGCGGTCCAAAATCTTATAGCGGTCACTTGGCGTGATTTAAAATAGCGGTTCTCGCGGTGGAATATCGGTGAGATAGCGGTTATATATATATATATATATATATATATATATATAATCACAAAGAGATAAAATGTAAAAACACAACCAAATTAAAAGAGTCCAAATATCAAATTGTCAAATGTAGATCAGTAGAAGTAGGAGTCGTCTATAGCATCAGGAAGGAAGTACCACAAATAAATGATATTGGGCAAATAAATGACGTTGGGCTAAGAATATTACAGATATCGGGCTGGTCCATATGAAAAAAATCTTTTAAAAAAAAAAAAATCAGCAAAAAAGTCCAATAATGTGAATAGCGGGATAAAAACGAGATCTCGGTTTTGAAATCACGGTGAAATTGCGTCCTATATCGCCGAGAATCTCGGAACCGCTATTTGGAAACACAATTTTTCATACACCCGTGAAACGCTATCCCACCGAGATCGCGGTGCAATTAACTGCCCAGGATGAGACTCTTGCTATGAGCGATTCATCACCTTCCGATGCACAGAACCTGATCTTGATGTTCCTATCGCCTTAAGGAAAGGTAAGCGTTCATGTATGTACCCTATAGCCTCTTTTATATCCTATGGTAAACTTAGAGACATTCTCTCTTTTGGCTAAGGTATCTTCCATCTGCTTGTTCATTTCATTAGCTGCTACTTACAACTGGGCCCTTCACCAACTGGATGTGAAGAATGCCTTCCTACATGGTGATTTACACGAGAAAGTTTCTATGGAGCAACCACCTGAGTTTGGTATGACAGGGTTTGTAAGCTGCGTAAATCATTGTATGGTTTAAAGTAATTCCTGTTGGTTTGGTTTGGACAGTTTAATGCCGTGGTAACAGAGTTTGGCTTACGAAGAAGCTCTTATGATTATTCTGTGTTCTTTGCTTCATCTTCTTCTGGATGCATTCTGCTAGTGGTGTATGTTGATGATATTGTGATTATTGGGAATGATGGAACTGGAATAAAAAAACTGAATGATTTCCTTGCATCTCTGTTTGAATCCAAGGACCTAGGTCCTTTAAAATATTTTTTGGGAATTAAGGTCTTTCGTACTCGAAAAGGGATCTGTTTGTCTCAACAGAAATATTGCTTGGATATTCTGAAAGATTCTGGGATGATTGAAACAAAGCCTTGTAAGACCCCAATGGTTTCGAATATGAAATTGAAAGCAGACGATGGAGATCCACTCAAGAACCCAGAGAAATACAGGAGAGTTGTGGGAAAACTTAACTATTTGAAGATTACACGTCCAAACATTGCTTTTCCAGTGAGTGTTGTAAGTCAGTTTATGTCGTCACCTCGAACTTCTCAGGGGGATGCGGTTAGTCATATTCCGAAGTACCAAAAGGGTGCTCCTGGTCATGGCATCCTATATCAAAGTTATGGTTATCATGTCATTGAAGGGTTCACAGATGTTGATTACAATAGAGATCCTACAAACAGACGGTCTACTACAGGTTATTGTGTATTTGTCGGAGGGGAACCTAGTTTCGTGAAAAAGTAAAAAGCAAAATGTTGTTTCACAATCAAGTGTTGAATCTGAATACAAAGTTATGGTTCAAACTACATGTGAGCTGATATGGGTACGAAAATTGTTAGGTGAAGTTGGGTTTGCTCAATCAACACCAATGAACATGTATTGTGATAATGAGGCGGCTATCCATATTGCAAACAATCCTATGTTTCACGAAAGGACTAAACATATCGAAGTAGACTAGCTGATTTCACTCGTGAAAAGCTAGAAGATGGAACCATCTCTACTCCCCATGTTCGAACAGGAAGTCAACTAGCTGATGTCTTTACCAAAGCTTTACCTGGTTCGCAGATATCTGCCATTTGTAACAAGCGGGGAATGTTTAACATTTATGATCCAGCTTGAGGGGGAGTATTGGAATGTAAATATTGTACATATTAGCATTGGCATAGTTTTAGCCCATAGGCCTGTAGGGTTTTCTATGTCTAGGGATCCTGCCTCTTTATATACCATGACATCTTCTCCTTGTAATTTGATCACAATTAATAAGGTTATTTTCACCCTCGATCTATTTTCTTGTTTACAAAAAGGAAATAGGTAGATTTTGATCACTTGTTTGAGATTCAAGATTCAGTTTCACTTTGCAAGGGTATAGAATAAGAGGTTATCACCCCATTTGAAGGATCAAAAGGACTAGTATCAACTGAGTGTCTTTCTTAGGTCCAAATGTTCTTCTTTTGTCTCGAGTATTGGTGTTTCGCTCAGGTCTAGAATGTTCTTCTTTTGTCTTGAGTATATTGGGTTCTTTCTAAACTGTGTGGATTTGGTTTTGTAATAGTTTCACGAACCAGAACTGGTGAAACTGTTTCTGGATTAGGGACAGAATCATGCGTAAGAGCATTTGGGGAGTTAGATTGATGATGTAGGAATAGATGTGAATTGAGGCTGCGATGCAACTGTTCTAGATCAGTGATATGATTTGGAGTGAGATTGGGATGATGTAGGAATAGATGTGGATTGAGATTGCGAAGGAAAAGATGTAGATAAGTCATGGAAAAGATCTTCCAAGCTTCCATTATCTTCCTTACGATTCTCCCTTGAAGATAAGGCTGGGTGAAGTAGGGATTGTTTTCACTAAAGCTTACATCAACCTTCTAGATGGGCGGTGGTAGCATTTGTACCCTTTCTGGGTTGAGGAATATCCTAAAAAGCACACTGTAAAACCTGGGGATCAAGTTTGTTTCTATCTTGGCTATGGATGTGAACAAATGAGATACATCCAAAGATGTGCGGAACACGATTCTTCTTTGACACTCCGTTCTGTTGAGGTGTTTTAACATAGGAAGATTCTTGAATTATCCCCTCCTTTTGAAAATAGGAGGCGAGAGTTTGATTGAAATAATCTCGAGCATTATTAGATCTTATTCTTTTGAACTTTGATTCCAAATTGGTTATTTATCATTGAAATGAGATTAGGGAGAAGAGTGCTAACATCTGATTTATGCTTTAACAGAAACACCTAAGTAATCCGTGTACAATCATCAATGAATGTCACGAACCATTGTGCATCCGACACATTGGAAAAATTAGATGGACCCTGTATATCAGTGTGGATAAGATAAAAAAGGAGAATTACTTCTTTTATTACTAGAACAAGGGATACGCTTGTGTTTAGCAAGCTCACATACCTCACAATGAAGGCTTTCAACATCAATTGTTTTAAACAAAGATGAGTAAGCAAATTCTGATATGAGTGAGCGAGAATCTTATACGAGTGAGATAATCTGAATTTTTTTGGCTACTCAAGACGATATAGATCATCCTTTTCCTATACAAGTCCAATCCTCTTACATTATCCATCGGAAAATATCACATAACAACGTAAATCTCGTGCTAGTTTATTTTATTTTATTTTATTTTATTTTTACAGAGATCAAATTAGTTGACAATTTTGGGATGTGAAGGACACTTTTTAAAAGAATGGATGGGCTGATTTGGATATTTCCTTTACCGGCTACAGTGGTTCGAGTTCTATCAGCAGTGGCAATTTTCTTGTTACTTGGACAAGGTGAGTATGTGGAGAAGTGTTTGGAAGAGCGAGTCATATGCTCAGTGGCTCCCGAATCAATGATCCAAGAGTATTTTAGGTTTGAATCTGTCATTAGATCCAAATGGAAGTGGTTGTTTACCTGGGAATGAAGGTCTACTTCCTCTTGTTTAAGGCTTATTGGCTCTTGTTTGACTTCTTCCAGTGTTGGGTCAACTACAACATGAGCTGGTCCTTTGTCTCTAACTTTTGCACTTTTCTGGCCCCATTCATGACTTGGTGGTTTGCCATGTAACTTCCAACATTTATCCTTCATGTGACGTGCCTTTTTGCAATGAGTGCACCATAGTCCATCTCGATTTTGAGTTCTAAATTGATCATTTTTCCCTGATCCGGACTCGTAGTTGGTTCTATTTTCCCTTCCTACCTTGACATGTTCGGCTGCCATTGCCGAGCCATTCATTGGAAGGGTCTCAACTCTCAAGCATTAAAGTTCTCCTGCTCTCCTCACTTCTAACAATGGCCACCACTTCGTTAAAGCAAGGAATTTCAGGCTTTCCAAGGATTTGAATCAAAATCAGAGTTTAAACCTACAAGAAAATCATAAACTCTGTCTTGTTCAATGAAGTCCTTGAGTATTGGAGCCAAGGCTAAAAGAGGTTTCCCAAGCTTCGGTAGGTCTGATACCATAACAGATTTAAGGTTTTCCTGTTTCTTATTGGCTGAGAAGTGTACAGAATAAATGCACAAGGCAAAGCAAGAAAAGGAAACTATTCTATGGAATCATATGATGTTAGAGATTACCTACAGTCACTATTATTATGGGATTATAATTAGCTACCATCTCTCCTACATTAAATACAAAATCATTTACATTTTCCCACATCTTTTTCTTCTCCCTCATTTATCATCTATGCTTTGTCCTTTGAGTAAAGTTGCAAGTTTGTGGCATCAGTTTGGATGGTGAACCATGAGATTAGTCATTTTAGAAACTAACAATACCAATAACTATATTGCCAGAAGCTATATATGGTTTTCAGCTGTATATGATCCTTGATTGTGTCTTGTTTGCTTGTATTGATACTGTAATTTAATTCCTTCTTAATGTAAGGAGGCAATTGCTTTAGTTTTTTTTTATTGGTTTGAACTGACAAAACTGTGCATTGAACTTGGATCTGCTTCATGACCTCTCAAGTTTTAGCTTTCCTTGAGCACACACTGTTTGTAAATTGTAGTTATGTGAATAGTACTGAGAGTTTTGTTCTACAGGGACAGGGTGAATGTAATTCTGTGAAGGGTGAGATGGATGGGAGAACAACTCAGTCCAAACAGCTTGAGCAGACAACCCCTAAACAATCTACCGTTGTAACCTCAATAGCAAATAGAACAAATCAGACAGATCTTGACAGGAATGATAAGAATTCACTGCCTTCCAGGAGACTGGAAAATGAAATTAGGTCTGATGATCCAAGTTTATCAAGTCAAAACACAAATGGCCAATCTCAGGGGTTGGATACTGAAGTAAGTGTAATAAATGGCAAAGCCTTTGGTAAAACTGACGATCTTTCTCATGGAATGAAAGTGGCGAGTTGAACATTTTTGGTTAGGCAACCGATGTGAAGTTCCACCAGCCAAAGGGATTTTGCCTTACTAAGCAATACTTGTTTTATTTTATTTTTTTAAATTTCCTTCGCCCAATAATGAAGACCAAGCTTGAATTTTGACTTGTTGCAGTGTAGTAAACGAGGAAAAGGTGTTGAACCGAAAACTCCAACAATGGATTCTTCAAGAAAGAAGGGGAGATTGGAAACCGAGCTTATAGGCGAAGGTGTGTGACTAGCTGCCTTTGTCTTTTTTGTTTTTTTTGTTTGTTTTAGAATCTTATATAAGAGCTCAAGTAGTAAACAAAGAGTTTTCAGGAGCTAAAGATGATCCAGCCAAAACAAGAAGCCACGAAAATGTGGAAAAAGATGTTACCCAATGTAATGGGATGACAGTATCACAAGAGAAGAAACTTAAGCAGTTGATCAATGTTGCAGAAGGTGAGACAAAACAAGCATCTCCATGTGTTGGGTTTGCACCATTGACAGTGGTTGATAAGGTGAGAACATTACACTTGCTCACTATTTTTATGTATGTATGTATGTGATTGTGAAATGTGAATCAGGAGGGAAAGGAAGGGGAAGAGGAAGCTGAAATTGTTTCTCCAACTCCAACTCCAAAAAGGAAGAGCGGCAGACCACCTAAATTACAAGCCATAAGTCCCGAGATTCCAGTTTCAGCAGCAGCAGGAGGTATAGTATAGTTAATCACATATCAGTGGAGATTTTGGTTGATGATGAACATGAATGCATAGTTTTTAACATTTATAGTTGCAGTTGCAGTTAATGATGATGATCATGAGAATGAAGGTGTTGCCCCCCCTGAGATGGAAAGTTGTCAAAGGTCTGCAAGTTCAGTAACCAAGCCTTTAGAGCAACCTGCTGCAGAAGACAATAATGAGAATGTAAAAGTATATTCATCGATGAGAGGGAAAGGAGGAAAGCGACGGATAATCAGTATAGACTCTGAATCTCCTCCAAGTGGAGCAACCAAGGGAGAAGAAGGTTTAGGTTTTGGTGATAATTTGCCCTTTAAGATAAGCAGTCCTACACTGTGGAAGACAATAGAATCGATGGAAGTGTTGCATAAGATTCCACAGAAACCACATTTCCGAGCATTGGAAGGCGTGAAGGAGAGCGAGCGGGAAGGAGTGGCCATTGGTAGCATGGTGACCTTTTCGCGGGTGGTTGACAAGACTTGTGCGCTGCGGTTTGAGGATCCGAGAAGCGCGATAGAGGAGTGTTTGGAAACGGTGGCGGAACTGGAACTTCATGGGTTTCAGGTGGAACTGGTAAGAGATCGGTTGACACAGTTGCTTCTCATAAAAGGAGAAGCAGGAGGAGGGGGACCTCCAGCAACAACGTTTGAAACGGATCACACACAAAATGGAGGAGGCACGCATGGAAGGAAACAGACTGGATGCAGAGATTGATGAAATTGATACGGAGATAAGAGACTTGAAGAAGAGACGCAGGCGGCTGCTGTCCAACAAGGAAAAACACGACTCACGGATGGGTCTTATTAAGGCCGCAGGGGACCGGCATCACCAACACCTCACGGAAGTTGGACTGGATTTTCATTGCTTGGCAGCTGCCCCCTTTCTTCCATCTGGCATCATTATGAATGATTGATTGGAATTTGGAATGATCCTTCTCCTTCCCTTCCTACTCATGTGATTGTTACTTTTGCACTAAATTTCTAGTTTTTGAAAATTTTCGTTATTGCATCGTGTATTTAGTGGAATGTAGACATTCAATCGACAATTATACATGGAGACTCCACATATGGAAAGGGAACTAGGGAAGGCCCCCTGATTCATAGGGTTCTCTTGTTTTTTAAAATCATGTTGGTTCTTTCAACTTATACGTCGTCAACAGTACCAGTGAATAATAGACAAACTGGTCTTGGCTTGCTGAATGCCTACCCATTTTTGAGAACATTTATGAATTTCGGTTTGCCTTTCATATTATGCCAACCTGAGAGGGATGTCGAAGAATAGGTGGTAGAGAGAATTGGGGTAAAAGTTACATAAATTACAAATGACTGAATGAGATTTTGATGGGGTTCCTATCAAGGTTCTAAATAACGTAAGGCGTGGCTTGGCGGCAAGGTAAAAGTTAAGCCATGGCAAGCCTTGGTGAGCCATGACGTTTTTCAAGGCGTGACTATATTATATACATTAAAAGATATAAATCATATAATTATTGAATTTTATCAAATATATGAAGTTTTTAGAAGTATTATATTAATATTTAATAGAAAAAAGTTAATAAAAACTCATTTATTTTAGGCCCGATAAAAAAACAAAAGAAAAAAAAAAAACAAAAAAAAAATACGCCTTGAAAAAAACTCGCATCATAACGCGATAAGGCGCACCTTTACACGTTATTTGGGCGCCACACTTAACAAACCCGCCTTGGACGTTTTCGTAACGGCTACACCACGCCTCGCGCCATGGCACGCCTTGAGGCGCGCCATGGCGCGCTTTTTAGAACCATGGTTCCTATATACGAATTTCATCATGCATTTGGAGTTGATCTTTCAGTGCCCCCCATAAGGTGAATGCATGATGGGAAATGTTTAGAGAAAACCACTCAAGGTGATGTCGATCAACAACTTGTTCCTATGGAAGAATACTAAGTCAAACCACCCTAACGGAGAATGGGGAGGGAGTTCCTTCCTTATTTCTCCAAAGGAGTTTGTGAGGGGAAAAGGGAAAGAAAAAGGGAGGGGTGTAGTAGTAAGAATAACATGAGTATCACTCAAGAGTTAGGGGTTGACCAAAGTATCTCCACCTTGTTTTGGGGTTGTGAGTTTTAAATTATGAAAAACCATGCCTCTTGTGATAGTTTTGTACTTTGGCGTTATTCCTTTTTTCCTTCTGGGTTTATTGTGTGAGTGATGGGGGAATTTGGGGTTGCGTTTCTTTCTTGGGGCTATTAATACTTAAAACTGTCCACAATCATTCAGTTCTAAAATTGACTAATGAGGTGGGCTGATTTTCACCATGACACATTGCTTAATATCACAAGGGCCATATATATATATATATATATATATATATATATTATTATATATATATATATAGATATATATATATATATATATATATATATATATATATATATATATATATATATATATATATGGCTAGGTTATAACGTGAATGATATATATTGTGTGGATGTAGGGATGAATGTGGACCAATAGTTTTACTTATTTTAAGAAAATGATTTATTTATATTATTAAATTAAAGAAAGTAGAATATTTGCCATTTAATTACAAGAAGGGTAATATTGTACATTCACATTACATTCCAATTAGGAAACTCAAGTGTAATTAATGAAATATTCTGTTTTTAAGGGATATTTGACTTTTTTAATTTTGAATTCTGATTTTTTCAAATTAATTCAATTTTAATTCTAACGTAAATTTTATTTTATCTGATTTTATTCTGTCAGAATGACAATCTAACAGATATTTTGTGAGAATGTTTGTTGATCATTAATATCTCCTTCTTAATAGATTTATACGTTTTAGTACATTTATAAAAATTCTAACAGAATACAGTGAAAAAATGTCATTCTTCTAAGAATGAGACTTGAAATATTGTCAAATTTATTACATCAAAAAAAATCTTAAAAACATTCTTCGATAATTCTTTCAGAAGGAATTAGAATATATTTTGTAAGAATGCCATTCTATGAGAATGTCTTCCATGAAATCGAATTCAAATGCTTTTTTTTTTCTCCGGATTTGTGAAGTTGCAAGTGGGAATAACACCAATAGCTATCATCTTTTGTTGCTTATCTCCCTTGTTCATCAAGAGTAGCAAAACATCCTTCTTCTTTACCTTTATTTTTCTTTCGTTATGCAACACCCGAAATTTAAGCTTCAATCTGTTTATTACCCATTTCTTGAACTTGAGTTATATCTTTTCTTTGCAACAAAAACCTACATGAAAGAATATTGTTGATAATGCATATAAGTGAAAACTGAAGATAAACTATGTGATCGGTTAACTCTTATAAATGAAAGAGTTGGGTACTTCTGACAGAATATACTTATCTCATTCTAAATATGTATATACACTTTAGTTCTTTCAGAGTGTTTTTATATGAAAAATAATAATTTTGATAGAATGCTTTAGCAGTTAATCCAATTAAAGTGATTCCGGAGGAGGAGTTTTACATGTAAAAGCTAATTCCGAGCTCTTATGAGAGAGATATGACACTTCAAAGATGACAAAAAATTCGGTGTAATCTATTATTTTTCCTTTTGTTTTGGTACCGGGTACCAAAATACCAAATTCCTTCATAAGATGCATGTTAATCTTATTGATAAAATGTTTATTGTAGAGAATATGTCATGTTTGTGATAGCATTATTAAACAAAAGAAGACATAGGTAAAATTTAATGTGAACATATCTACATAATGTCAAACAAAATACCATGAACAACTGGGAAATCCACTTAATTTTATCAATATTGAAATTGTTACTAACGTCATAGGGGGGTTGCGTAGAGATCATTAGCACATCAAGTTCCATTAAATAATTAAAACAAAGCCTATATATATGAAAGAAAACTTAATTATAATAAAAAATCAAAACACTAGGAGATAGTTATCTATTCTTTTTCTAATACCTATTGAATATACCAAGAGAAATTCTATATTTTTAATGGTGTGCACTGAGTCTTATTCTTAGGTGCCATAAGGTTTGACTTCACCAAATAAATTAACGTCCAGAAACAATAATTAAAAAGTTGTATTTAGACTGTATTTAGAAACCATTTACACTGTTTTAAACTATTTTTTAAACTACACTAGTAAACACCGATGCTAATGACAATTTTTTTTATTATCAAAGTACGACATAAATCATATATATTTATGGATTGTTTTTCCTGCATCTAAACTTCAGTAGTCAAATGAATGTGATCAAAATTGTCTATCCAAGTTAATATTATGCTCCGAAACATGTTTATGTAGATCGTTAAGATTTACCACATACATTGAAACAAAAAAAGAAGGTTTAATGTTGCAGAAAAAAACTGAATTATTTTGTAAGATATAAATAAAGTTCATCAAATTACTTAGCAACGATGCCTTTGGCAATGAATCCATTGATTAAATCTCTTAACTTCCTGGGGAGGTTAAACAAAAGGGTCTTCACTTATATTGAGATCCGAGACTTCCATGCAATTAGGTGTCACTAGTATTATGTTTAGGAAGCAGTGGAGAGGAGGAGTAAGAAGTAACGGAGGAGACGAGGAAGAAGGTGATCGTCTGTAGAGAGGGAGAAGAAAGGATACGTGTGGTGGTGGCATAGGGTTTTAAATAAATAAACAAATTTACCTAAATTAAAGGGATTAATGATTTCATTATTTAATTACCAAAATTAATAAATAGTTAAGATTACAATTTTACCCGTACCAAGTTTTTTAAATGATTGGTCCATATTAAACCCTACATCCATACAATAATTGTTTATCCACATATAAACCTATATATATATATATATATATATATATATATATATATATATATATATATATATATATATATATATACTAGGTTATAACCTATGTGTTACACGGTTACCAAAATAAAATAAGATAAATTAAGAAAATAGTAATCATTGATCATAAATTTATAAATAGTTATTTTTATATAACAAATGTTCTTTGAAATTTTGAATTGGATTCTTCAGTATGCCATAATTTCAATGCTTATTCACCATATTACCTTTAAGTTGAATAAATTCATAAAAATATGAAACATGATTGCGTAAATATGCATTTATCTCTTCCAAGTGTATCAAAAATGAAAATGTAGGTGTAGAAATGTTAGTTCTCTTTTGATTATTAGATGGAAGGTGTTTACAAAAGCAAATAGATAGATATATATATATATAGATATATATATATATATATATATATATATATATATATATTTGATTGTTGTTAATTACAAATTTCAAATAAGATCTTTGTATTCTCACAAAAAAATTTATTCGGTCGTCATTTAGTATCTACATTAATTCTACATTAATTCTACGCAAAAAAATTTATATATATATATATATATATATATATATATATCTATATATATATATATATATATTATCTAATTTTCTTTATTATGGATTTTATTATAGATGTTGGAAAGCAAATTTAATTATTTTATTTATTGAATTTAGTTCAAAGTAATAAAATTTAATTAATGTTTAAAATAGTAAATATAAAAATTTAAGAAATTCAATACAAACTAATACAAAACAAAAAAAAAAGTTGTCACGTTGGACTTGCATGGGCATAACTAAACAAATATATAAACTCGATTATTGAAAGATAAATGTCTACATGGGAGAATAAAAATAACTCAATCAAATGTGTTCGAATATTATGACTAAGCTTTCCTGCAAACTTCTTACCCAATATATTAATAAAACAAACAATTCAGCTGATTAAAACAATACACGTAAATCACATTTTGTTACCCATTGGCACTCATTAAACTTGGATCAAAATCTAGTCATTCTTCATAAACATGAAATCAAAGCATAGAAACAACAAATTAGGTAAAAATTATAAATAACTTGTGCTTCCCTCCAATCTTTTGTACAAAAATGTTTATTTTCAGCATTAAAATCAAATTAAACACTGGAAGTTTAAAAATGTCCATTAAGTAGGACTAACCTTTAAATCCAAGAACTTATCTTCTTTAATGCCTCATTCTAGTTTGCCCTTCAAACATAGGTACGTAGGGAGTACCATCTTTGCTTCGATCGGCTCGTGCTTCATCCTAAAAGCCAACAG